CTCTCTCTCTCTCTCTCTCTCTCTCTCTCTCTCTCTCTCTCTCTCTCTCTCTCTCTCTCTCTCTCTTTTCAGTTTGTCGTCTAAGTGAGTGCTTGTTGTAGTTCGATGCTCTGTATTTGTCTGCCCATCTTCACGCGCGACTCTGCGATCATCATATCGCGGCGTTTAACACGGACTTATGTTACTTCGCCCCCCCTGCCCTCTACTGTGTCTGATGTGTCGGGATCGCTGCCCCGTCTTGTCTCGAATAGAATGTACGGTCATTATTGTTGTATTTGGGGCAACTTTCAATCTAGGTTCAGGGATAATGACGGTACGTTCTATTGGGGGGAAGAAGGTAGTCCTCCGCCTCCTACTCTTGCTCGTTTAACACGTGTTAACACGGTCGTCTCGGCACGAACGCTCTCGTGCGCGTGAATTTATTTTTTGAGTATTCGTTTATTTTGATTTATTTATTAACTTTATTTATTTATGTTTTCGGGCGAGTGGATTGCTATCGTCTCTTGCGCGTGATACCTTAACTGGCTGGCATGTCTTCGGTGTATCCGTTTTTCTGCCTGCACTCCTCCCCTCCCTCTCCTACCGTAGTCTCCGTCGTTCTCTCTCGCTTCTCCCCTCCCTCTTTCTCCGCTTACTCTCACTCATCTTGTCCCTCTTTCTCTCCTTCACCTGTCCCCCTCTTTCTCCCTCTCTTTCCTTTGCCCCATCTTCCTCTCTCATCCTCTTCCTTCCCTCTCCTTGTTCTTCTACTACTCGGCGCCTAGTCGGTCGGCTCCGTTCTGAACTGTTCATGGTTTGTCGTCCCTTCCCGCCGTCTTCTCTCGATTACAACGCATCCTGATCGTGAATGAATGCAAGCCATTTTTCAGGTTTGATACAAGTCATGATGAAGGTGCGTTGTGGGGGGGGAAAGACGGTAGCGAAGGAAGGCAATCAACGACCCTAGGCGGGCTTTTCGTGTGTCTCATCCTGGTTTTGAGCATTCTCGCTCTTCAGCAGACCAGAGCGGAAAGCTCGTGATGAAAGGAGGATTGGGGGGGGGAGGTGGTTTACAACTCATTTACTCGTTGTCATGTAGCGATGAATGGCCAGCGCCCTCGTTCCTCTCAAAGAGTTAGCGCGCCTCTCTCCGCCCATGCGCAGGCCTTCTCCCCCTCCCCCCCGCCTCCCAAATCCATCGCTAACGCCTTCCTAACGCGCCTCCATGACTATCGTCTTCACCCGTATAGAATGCCCGGTCATTATCGTTGCATCTAGACTAAAAGTTACACCAAATGCTGCTATAATGATCGGGCGTTCTATTCAGGTGAAGACGGTAGTCATCAGCAACGATATGATTGGTACCCCCGCTCTCTGTTCTTCCAGCGCTTCTCTCAATAACATTATCATCCCCCTCTCCAATGCACTATCATCGTCGACGTTAACCATCTTAATCATGGTCTAGATGCTTGCCCTTAGCTCTGTGTGCTTCCCTACCCCACTCTGTGTTTCGTTTCCTGTTCTCTCCTCGGTGCCTTTGCTCTTAGTTCTCTTCCTCTGTTCCATCATTCTCCCCCTCCCTCCCCCCCGCTTCGGTGCCTTCTTCTTTCGTGCCCTTACTGGCCACGTTTCCCCTCTCTTTTCCCTTGTGAACCTGTTTCTCTTCTTTTTCGCTCCTCCCTCCTCCCATCGCCATTTTCCCTCCCGCCCCCCTGACCTCCATGTCTCGCTCTCTCCTCCCTTTCCTCCTCGCTTGTTCATTTTCTCTTTTCATTCTGACCTATTTTTCTTTGCCCTTGCTATCCCCCGCTCTTTCTCCCCGATTGTTGTTTTCCTTGTCCTGTCCCTCTGTCGCCCTTTCATCTGCTCTCTTTTGCCTCCTCTTCCTCGACGAAATTTGTCCCCCCTGGTCGCGCTATCTCTTTGCTGCCGCCATCTCCTTCCTCCCCCATTTCCTCGCTGCTTCCGTCTCCTTGCTGCCGGCATTCCTCCCCCGCTGCCATTTCCTCCTTGCCGCCCTCTTCTCGCCGCCATCTCGTCCTTGCTGTTATCTCCTTCCTCCCGCCATTTTGACCCTGCCGCCATCTCCTCGCGCTGTCATATCTTCCCTTAGCCGTCATCTCCTCGCCGCCGCCACCTCCTCGCTGTTGCCATCTCCTACCTGGTGTCATTTTACCCCTGCTGAATGTCTTCGTTACCGCCATTTCTCCCTGGCGTGTCGCCATGGCTTCCCTGCCGCGCCGCCATGGCTTCCCTGCTGCGCGGCCATGGCTTCCTTGCAGCCATACCCGCCGCCCTCCCTGCCACCATACCGTCCTTGGCGCCATCCCTACCGCCATAACCTCCCTGCCTCCATCCCTGCCGCCATCCCTGCCACCATCCCTGCCGCGTCCTTCGTTAATCCTGACTATTCACTATTAATCCTGACTATTACCGTCTTCACCCGAATAGAACGCCCGGTCATTATAATTGTATTTGGGGCAACTTCCAGTCCAGATACAGCGATAATTACCGGGAGTTCTATTCGGCTAATGACGATAGTCCTCACTAGTCCTAATCTTTCAATCTTTCCCTCGACCACTCCCCATCTCCTTGTCTCTCTCGCTCCCGTTTTCCTCTTCCCTTAGTCCGTCTTCCCTCCCTGTGTCTCTCCTCCGTTTTCATCCTGCACATCTCTCTCCCTTCCTTTCTTCTCGTTTCTCTTTCTCTGCTCACTCCCCCCCCGGCTTCCTCTGTCCCCCTACCTCACGTTTCCTTTCTTCCTCTTTTCCGCTTTCATACCCCCCCCTAGATCCTACCCGTCTTCGCCCTATACCGCTTTCTCTTTTTTCTTCCTCCCCCTCGTTCTTTCCCTCTTTCTCTGTGCGCCTTTCTCCGTCTCTCTCTCTCTCTCTCTCTCTCTCTCTCTCTCTCTCTCTCTCTCTCTCTCTCTCTCTCTCTCTCTCTCCCCCCCTCTCTCTCTCTCTCTCCTCTCTCTTTATTTTTTCCGTGCTTACTTCTTCTCCCTCCCACTCTCCGGGTTTACGTTTAGGGAGGTCCAGGATGCATTTGACTAATGGAAAAGGACTCGCCACATCGCCCAGAGTTAGTGCACCTCTCTCTCCGGGTTTCTCTTCCTGTTTACGCTCCCTTAGTCGCACCTCTCTCTTCCTTTCTATCCTATTGGCCTCTCTCTCTCTCTCTCTCTCTCTCTCTCTCTCTCTCTCTCTCTCTCTCTCTTGCAGTGCATTTTTTCGTATTTTCTTTGTTTGTTTTTTTCTTCTAAGTACCTCATGCCCACGAAGCAGATGAGCATCGCCGCTGTGCACATTGGTTATGTCGGCGTAGTAGTCGGCCGTCAGGTCCGGGTCTCTGACAATGGCAAGGCCGAAGCCTTTATTTTCATTAATTATAAATTAATTAATTGAATTATATTGAGTGTTATTATTGTAGTCTTATTAACCAAGCCTTGTTGTGCATGGGTTGTGGGCAGCCGTCTTTCCGCTTTACAGTATTACCTATAATTGGTCGTGCCACGTGTCCATCCCTAGCGGTCACTCTAGTCTATTGCTATTCTCTTCTTACCCTTACTCCCAATGGTGGAACCAGTTTCCATTTGCTTTTTGTCTTCCTTGAGATTCATTTATCCTATTTCGCAGCTATGCAAAGAAGTCCTTTTGGTCCGTTGCCTTCCGTTGTGTTTGTCCCGTCTCACTGTTATCTTTCTCCCCTACCTCTCCTACCTCTCTTGCCGACCTCTTCCCTACCTCCCTACCTTCCTCCTCTTCCTCTCTCCCTTCACGTGCCTCCCTCTGCCCTACATCTCTCCCCCACTTACCGTCGTTACTCTCCCCTGCTTCTCCCCGTGATCCTCACAACCCTCATCTTCTATCTTGCCCCCCTCCTTTCTTGCATTTGTCATCGTCCGTTCTTCTTTTCTCCGTCTCCTACCCGCCATCATACCTTTTCTGGACATCACACGTTTTCCAGCCGTCGCACCATTTGCCGCCGTCAGACCTTTTTTTTGGCCGTGGCACACGCATTTTCCCACCATCACACGTTTTCCCGCCATCCCACATTTTTTCGCCATCGCGCATTTCTCCCGCCATGCTACCTTCAGTCCCCTGCTAGCCAGCGTGGTTTTTTTTTTTTAATTTCTTACTATTATTATTATTTTTTATATGCGAGGGGAAATTGAAACAGCCGGAGGGGGAGGAGGAGGAGGAGGAGAAACCGTACGTATTCTTTCAGCCTGATAGAGCACACGGTCATTATCGTTGCCTGACTGTTGCTCTGAATACGGCTATAAGACCCTGCTTTCTATTCGGGGGAAGACAATAGCCGAAGCCGAAACGTTTTTTTTTCCTTTTACGCCCTTTCCCATGAATGAAACGTCCTTTTTTTTTTTTTTTTTTTTTTTTTATAGAATCCACATCATTGCGATCGTAGGTTGTGGTTCACTATTGCTGCGCCGGATTCGCCGATATTCCCCCCAATTCAAAGCATCAATATTTGGCAAAGGCCTTCGTTTTCCCAAAGTGGGAACAAGAGCAGGTCCCGCTTTTCCCCTTTTGGGACTTTGCCAGAAACTGGCATTGTGCCCGGCCTCGTTAGGATAGCCAAGTCAGACAGGTACCGATGTAGTAGTTTGTTTAATAAAAACAATTTTAATGGCGATTATTTTTTATTTTTTTTTTGCGTTGATGTGAAGATATGATGGATCCTCCTGTCTCTCGATTGAATGAAGAAGGGGTTGGTCCTTTAATCTTAATCTGTCTCTTATACACATCTAGATGTGTATAAGAGACAGGAAGAAGGGGTTGGTCCTAATCTTAACTGTATATTTTAATCCGACATCAAGATCCGAACTCATGGTGATCTGTTTATGAACAATTGCGTGTGTGTGCTATTTAGCCACATGGGCTGGGTTGTTTTGTTATTTTGTTATTTTGTTATTTTGTTATTTTATTATTTCTCCTTTGTTTGAAATGTCTTTAAGATACATTCATCATGAACGGACAGACAAGATGGTTCTCGTTGACGTCATCACCGCAATCGACATTGTGTTCCCACACGCACCATCGTCGCCTTTTCTAGTCAATCAATCATGTGATCATACAAAATGTGTCTGCCGAGGGGAGACCCCGTAAAGCAAGCCCTACCTTCGTACAAATGCACGTCCTTGTGTGGTGCACACACTAAATTCATTCATCACTCATGAAGCGATCATCAGTCAATCATCAAGCACTCATCAGTCTTAGAGAGAGAGAGAGAGAGAGAGAGAGAGAGAGACGTTGGAGAGAGAGAGAGAGAGAGAGAGAGAGAGAGAGAGAGACGTTGGAGAGAGAGAGAGAGAAAGAGAAAGAGAGAGAGAGACCATCTCTTTCCCGCCATCTCGTAAACTTCAGTTCCCTCTCTTTCCCGCCATCCCATTCTCGCCCTCCCCTTTTCCCACCATCTCCTTCTAGCAGTCTCTTTCCCGCCATCTCGTTCTCCCATTACCCTTTTCCCTCCATCTCCTTCTCCCCTTACCCTTTTCCCGCCATCTCCTTTTAGCCATCTACTTCCCACCATCTCTTTCCCGCCATCGCTCTTTCCCGCCATCTCGTAAAGTTCACTTCGCTCCTTCGTTGCATCTTTTCCTATTCTACCCAATGTCGCCGTTACTTTCGCCATATGTTTTAGATGTGATTGTGTCCAGTAGCACTGTCTTTGCTTGTATAAATTTGAGTTGATGTTGTTTCCTTTCAAATGAGCATCTTGCCCTCCATGGTGACATCAGCATAGCCTGTCTTGTATGTATTTAAACAGCTATGGCCTGAAACTGACCTTTTTTTTTGCAGTCATCCCACGTTAAACCCAGGAGGAAGGATACCTTTCTCGGCCTTTTGGCTAAGATCAATTGTAGTATCTGTTCCATGACGCTTACGTGAGGTCCGGTGCACGGTGCGCTGATCTCAGATGCGCAAAAAAATGAAAAAAAAAAAAAAGCGTGTATACACGCTGAAGAGAGAGAGAGAGAGAGAAAGAGAGAGAGAGAGAGAGAGAGAGAGAGAGAGAGAGACTATCTTCTTCTCCTCATCTCCTTCTCGCCCTCCCCTTTTCCCGCCATCTCCTTCTCGCCCTCCCCTTTTCCCGCCATATCCTTCTCGCCCTCCCCTTTTCCCGCCATCTCCTTCTCGCCCTCCCCTTTTCACGCCATCTCCTTCTCGCCCTGCTCTTTTCCCGCCATCTCCTTCTCGCCCTCCCCTTTTTCCGCATCTCCTTCTCACCCTCCCCTTTTCCCGCCATCTCCTTCTCCCCCTACCCTTTTGCCNCCATCTCTCTTTGCGGCCATCTCGTTTCCGCCATCTCGTGAAGTTCAGTTCCCTCTCTTTCCCGCCATCTCCTTCTCGCCCTCCCCTTTTCCCGCCATCTCACACACACACACACACACACACACACACACACACACACACTAAAAAAAAAAAAAAAAATGGCAGCAGAAATGAACAAACGAAAGGCTCATAAACCGTGCAGCGACCTTCCTTGCTCGGTTCAACAATCAGCTCCTGCATCTCCGTTCATCTCAAGTAAGGTCGTTGATGTCAACTAAAAAAACGAACTAGTAAACAGACACTCGTAATTTTATTTTTATGTTTATTTTTTCACTTGAAGCCAAAAAAAGAACGTGATCGCGATTGATCTGCTTTTCTGCATCTGTACGAAAAACACGTCCAAATTCAGACGCTTAATCGGAAATCCTCTTTACTAGTGGGACCTCGCCTTTGGCTCGAACATGAGGCGAATCCCGCCTCAAGCATTGACTACGAATAATAATATAATTAATAATATGAATAAATATAATAATAAAAATAATAATATAATAATATAAATAATATTTAAAAATAATAATGATAATAAACTCATTCATTGCCGAAAAATAGACCATTGAGTCCAAACACGCAAGATAGCAAGCGCGAAAATCACACCCTGCGATCATTTGACTGCTAGTTTTTTTTTTGTTTTTTTTTTCCTTGTTCTTTCTATCTTTTATTTTTACTTTCCTTTTGCATGATTACTCTATTCTATCACCAGGGCCGAGGCCACACACTAGGAAAAGGGTCTTGGATTGAGCGTGTGAATGTGGATGTGTTTTACACGGACATGCAGCACAACAAATCAATGACTTCAAACACCTGTCCACAAACAAGTCCACATTCAGGTGTTCAATCCAATCCTTTTCGCTAGTGGGACCTCGCCCCAAGAAGGAAGTCAACCTACAACGACGAATTATCTCACCTGCAAGCGACAAACGGACGCGGAGAGAGAGAGAGAGAGAGAGAGAGAGAGAGAGAGTAGTAGAAACAGAGGCCAACTGGCTTTGGTACATACCATAAAAGCTCTTCAAGAAGATAGAGAGAGAGA